CAACCACAAGGAGGACGAGGTGAGCGGCCCCGGGGACTGCGGGAGGCGCCACCCTGCTTGGGGCCCGCCCGTCACCCCGGCCCGTGCCCCTCTCCGGGCACTTGGGGCTAGGGCTGCCTCTGCCCTGGCTGCGCTAGGCTCAGGCCCGCCGGGTCGCTCCCCCTCCCTGGAAAGGGGATGTTGCCTGGAAAGGGGAGGGTGCAATGGGCCTCAAAATGAGGAAGATGAGCCGTATCCGTGGGCTGGAGGCCAGCAAGGAGGCCTTGAGGGAGGGCACTGGGGGAGCAGTGAGTCAAAAAGGTGGATAAGAGGGGGTGACACTCTGTATTTGCTTTCCTATTTAGTGTGTTATTGTGTTGTTGAGGTTGTTAATACATCTAGTAAAGGAATTGCGGAGTTCCTGCACAGCAGTAATCAGCTACATATAAAGCTGAGTTCAAGCACAGTTCCATTCTGAAATTGTTAATATATACCGTCTACCTAAAGCATTTTCTGCACTGGTAAGCTTATGTGGGTAGGAAACAGTTGGACGTGTTGGCCTGTTGTTCGTTTTGCATTAGAGAGATGTTATCGGACAATTAGTAGAGGTCAAATAATTAGTCACCAAGAACACGTTATGTGAGATTTTCCACGTTGAATTGGAAGTGTCATATATTAATTTGAAAATAATGGACCCTGAGGATGTGATTTATATTCATCTACAAGTAAGCGGTGGTCGCCTTCAAAGCTCTTATGAATGGCCTAACCTTTTACTGAGGACAACTAGTTCTTTATTCTTAACCACTGGAGCTGTTGGATGGTTGGAATTGTAGCTTATCTTCCAAAAAACACTTGGCTTTGCAAATGACTTCTAAGCACCACGTGCACCGTGCAAGGTGCTACTTGCTAATGATGATACCTGGGAAACTATTTAATTTTTATTTCTGTCACTGAGCCTTGGTTTGGTGTCAGAGGAGGATAGTCCTGCTGTGCAGTGTGCAGCACCCTGCAAAAAGAAAGGGAAACTCTATGGAGGATTGGAAACAGTGTTTATTAAGCCACGTGATACCTATATGGATATTCCCCGTGTTCAAATGCACTCCTGTAGTTTTAAAATGTTTTTTGTTAGAACTGGAGCAGCTAATCAGTAAATTTCATGGGATGTTTTTGCATGGCCCCGTCTGTGTGATGCTTTTAATAAACATGCTTTATTTTTTCTGTGCACAGGACAGCAAATGCTTCTTGAACTGCCAAAGCTCTGAGCATCCCTCTGTGCAGGTCCAGGCTTCTGTGCCTTCCATCCTCTTTGAGGAGGTTTGCATGTGCTGTTTTCATTTCTAAGATAATTTTGTGAAAAATAGCTCCTTTTCCAGGATTTCATTTATTCAGAAGGTAAAGGGCACGAGTGACGTTACACCCATCATGCTCGAGAAATTACTGTGCATCATGAGGTGGACTTAGTGTTTGTTCTTAGCCTGTGGCAAAGCTTGGTTATAATGTGGTAGCTTTAATTTCCTTTGCCTGAAGTTAAGAAGGAACATATCACAGGTACTTTTTTTTCATACTGTTGGAAAAATATACGCAAAGATAAGGTCGAAGCAAGTGTGTTGCTTCTTCCTTCTGTAAGTTAAAGTTGTCAGTTGTGCTGGTTGAGGGGTAATGTGGTTGTTTTCTCTACTACAGCTAGCAAAATAGGACTGTAAAGCTTCTCTTACTAAGATTGGACATAGATTTAGTGCTTCCTAGTGCATAACCATGAACAGTATTTCTAGTTTTGAGGTGATATTGCAAAATCAGAATAGTATTTTAGAGGAAGTAGCTGCAAAAATTCTTCCTCTTTTTCCTTTGGTCGCAGGGATATTAACTGCTGACTCTCAATAAGAAATGCAGTGAAAAAGATGTCTCTGGAAAGATGTTGTTGTGGTTGTTAAATAAAAATGAAAGAAATGGGATAAGAGTATTGTCTTGACCTTTTTCATACAGTTATGCATTCTACAGAATGCTAACTTCTGTACATTTGTTCTTGCCTCTTGAAATTAAAATAGTCATGTGGAAATTCCATCCTTGTGTCTTTTCACCTATCTGGGCAGCCTCTCCTGGTTGGAAGGAGTTGGTCAGATTTATTCCCTTCCCGTTCTTAAATGCAAGTTTTCTATTCCACTGTAGGTGCTATCACAGGCTATTGTATCTGGTATTCCGTTCAGCTTGTGGCTTCATCCCACTGACACATCAAGGGTGTATTCATAGTGAAGGATATGCCAAATGGCTGTCACCTAGATTTATGTGGGAGGTTTTGACTACAGCTTTTCTATAGACCAACTACATTCTTCTGTGATATATTAATCTTGTGATCTTGAGGCTATCAATTTTAAGTCCTCAGCTCATAGAGGAATGGAGGGTGCTGGAGGGCACCTCAGCTAACATCCATGCTGCCAAAAGCTTAATTACCTGTCAGAGGCAACGCTCATTTTAGTATCTGATCTGTATCCAAAGCTGACCCATTTATTTTGAGTTTAAAACACTGAAATTGGAGGCAGGGTGTGCTGTAAGGAGAGAGGCAAGAGGTAATGCCTGAGTTAACCCAGCCGCTTTTCAGTGTGGACCTGCTCCAGGCTCCCAGGGAAGTTTGGAGCTGCATCGTCCTCCTGTGAAGTAACCACTGTGAAGGGTATGAGGTAGTATAACAGCATTAGATTGTTTCCTAGTTTAACCTGTTATGTTTATTTTTCAGCACTTTATGCCGATGCTTTGATCCCTGCAGTGTTTCCTGGTGCTGGTTCAAAATTTCAGAGAAAGACAAGCCTACTAGAAAGACCCAATTTGTGCCATTCTCACTTCACTTTTTTTTTTTTTTTTTTTTGTTCCCCTAATCTCTCAATCTCCCAGAAAATCGGTCCTTTTAACAGTGAAAGCAATGGATCTTTTATCGGTTATTTATTAGGTGCTTTTGTAACCTATGCAATATATTCTCCCAGTTCTGCCTAGGTTTTGGATGCACATCTGAATGAAGGGATAAGTGGTTGGTACCATGAATGGATCTTCTTGCTAGATAAACCAAACTTCCAAACTAGAAAATAATGGTTTTTTTTTTTGTTTGTTTGTTTTTTTTGGTTAGGGATGTTCTCCTGAAGTTGAAATGGATGGAGAGAGACTCCTTTGCTTGATACTGTTTGGCTGTTGCACAGTGTTTTGTATTTGCATTTAACAAGCTTATTGTACCCAACAAGAAAAGCACTGTTGCCTGCGAAGGCGAGAGGCACCTTTACAAAACTGAGGTAGTGAAGTAGTAGAAATGGAGCTATTAAATGAGTAGTGACTTGCCCTGCTCAGGCTATAGCCCTGTGTGTTTCAGGTGCTTATATAAAGCTAAAGCAGAGGCACATTGGAGTTTTCGTATAATGTGCTGGAAAATGTGCACTCAAGTACTCAAAAAAATGGCACTTACCAAGTTGGCAGTAGGTTCCTGCTTCTTTAATGACTTATCTAACAAAAATGGACTTAAATCATTGGAAAAACCTCCCTATCTCCCGCTCTTTTCTTTCCTCCTAAATAAAGGGTTATTGCGAACAAATACAAATAGCTACTTTTTCAGGTAAAATCATGGTATAAGGTGTTTTGAGGAATCTTCTAATATTACGGAGGTCTTGCATGCACAGCCTGTCATCAGCCAGGCTGGAGATCATCGGATGCTGCAGTCTCTTGGCTTGGCCTCCAACTGCTCTTGCAGTATCAGTACCTAATAATAAAGATTATGGAGCGGGACATAATAGGGGAATTCTGAGGGATACTAAAAAGTTTGTGAAGGCTGAAGCCTGGAAACCAGCCCAGCTGATAGGCAACGTGCAGATCCTTGATGCCAGGCGCTTCTTCCTGTTGCTGACGCTCCATCCGTTACTGCTGCCCATATGTGTTAATGTCTTTGAAGGGAGCTCGTTATTCCACCCACTTCTGAGTAGATCTAGTGTTGCTATTGTTAGTTGTGTGTCTGAATCACTAGAAAAGGCAAAGTCGGAAAGAGAGACACTGCACAAAGGGAAGTTTGCTAAGGACCTTACTTGGACCAGTAAAGCAGATTGACCGTGGCCTCCAGGGTAGTGAGGACAGTGTAATAGTGTCCTTGGCTTAGTGCCTGTGTCACAGGAACTACAGGGTCTGGAATCTGGTAACAAAAAGGAATGAAATGAGCTTTTCCTCGTATACAGAGAGCAGCTTAGGCTTGGCGCTACAGCTGGCTTCCATTAGCTTCTTGCTTTCTCCCGTCTTAAATATTATTTAATTGGTGGTGGCCTAAGTGGGGCTCCTGGCCTTGTTCCCAGTCTAGAGCCTTTTGTAGCTGTCTTTATGAGGGTTTGAAGCTCTGCACAAGAATCACTTTATCATGTGCATAAACACAAATTCGAGTGCAGAGAAGAGGAAGAATATTCTGATGCTTCATCCTAAGGAATGGAGGGGACATGCACGGTGTGCCTCTTGTGAAGTCCAAGGAAGTACTACCAAAAAAGTCGAATAAGAACAAAGATATTAACTGCTTTGCTGTGGTGATCTTCAGAGAGCTACTTACTGATGTTTGATGCAGCCACCTTTGTCCCCATGTTAAATGTAGAGAATGAGTTTTTCGTCTTTTTTTGATCTCTTCCGGTGTGTCCCCAAGGTTTACTGAGAGCCCTCTTCCTCCGCAATGCAGGTCAGTGAATATTTTTGATGTGCAAAGATTACCTTTGGGTTGTTTGTCTGGAAGTGTTCTTGGGTGGTGTGTCGTGTTCCTGATGTGGTACCGAGAGCAGCCAGGGAGGCATAAAACTGCACATCAGAAAGTCTGAGTCATGGGACCAGTTATAAAATAAGTTAAGGAACACAAATGATTCTTTAAAACCCCTGACTGTTCATACTGAAAAAAATTAAAGTCCTTCATAAGCAGTCTGTCTAAATCCAGAAAGATGCAGAAAAAAAACATGGTTTGTAGTGATATCATTTTTTTTTAATTAATAAAAAAAAAAGCATAAGTTCCAAATAACAAAATGTCTGCAAAGCCTGTCGAAT